CTTCTCCTCAGGGCTGCTCTCCATCCACTCACTGCGCAGCCTGTATCTGTGCTTGGGATTGCAATATGCAATCCGTTGCAGTATGTTGGTGTGTTGTAGTAGGAATACTACACAGCAACGTGAAAGATGAAATTTGGGCTATGATGTTGGCCTCAGTAGAAGAGAGTGAGCAAAGGAGAGACGGTGCAAAGAATAAGCAATGGTGAAGCACATTTAAGGTCCTTAAAAGCAGGGGCTGTAAATGAGTACTCAGTTTTTGGAGGTGGTGTGCTCTAGACTACAAGGAAATCACAAAAACTAGTGGGGAAGAAGGGATATTACATATTTAGTGTGTGTTTAATCTGTGGCCGTTTTAGTAATGTGAAAATGTTTCTTGCGGTGTTGGCAAAGATTGTTTTCTGGGTGCATTTGGGGGGGAAAGCATTTTATATTTTTTCTGTGGGTGAAGATATTGTACAAGAAAAAGACTAGGGGAATGGTTTTAGCTAGTGGCTAATGTCAAGAGTGACGGTGTACGAGCGGATGATCCTTCAGGAGCAAAGATCAAAACTCCTTATATGACTTATCAATTTGAAGGCAAAAGTTATGGGTGATGAATTGAAATGGGATTTGCTGGTCAAAAATGAGCTGCAGCAGTGACTGCTAAACTCGTTAACATAAACATGGTGTCTGAGACTGTCTAGGTGGGTGCAGTTAGACCCGAATGCAAATGTAGGGCCCCATAATTTTTGTTTGAGCTCCTGCCAGATATTTAGAAGGAGACATTTGCTATCTGCCTTCTATCTCCAAATTCCTCATGAGTTGTAGATTTCTGTCTTTGTATTTATTATTTTAATTGTAATCGTGAGAGCTTTAGGATGCTATGATCAAGAACATAAGTGAAAACATAACCGTAGACTGATAAAATTTTTCGGTGGCCTTCAGATCAGTCCTTAAGCAATGTCTTCAAGTACTTAAGCAATTTAATTGAAGTAGTAAAGCTTTCAGGCATGATAGCTGTCTAGAGGAGCTTCCCAAACTGTATGAGCTGTGTTCAGATACTTTCTTTGTGACAAAAGGCCTCTATTTGAGGGAGGGACGTGATTCAAATGTACAGAATCACGAAGCTTGTGGATGAGATGAATAGAAATAGGTCTTCAGCAAAGCTTGCAGTGGAGGCACTTTCTGAAACTAGGAAGAGAAATTAAAATAGCTAAAAGTATGTTGTGGAGAGAGATTCAAAAAGTGGTTAGATGAATTTGTGGATGACAGGTCCATAAGTGGCTGTTAAAGGGAATAGGTAGGAATGTAGCCTTTAATTTCCTGCTGTAACAGTTTAAGATGCTGAAGAATTATGAGGAGAATGGGCTACGTAGAACAGCCAGGTTAATGTGCTTTCCGTGAGTAGCGTGCCCTTTTGCCACCTTTGGAGAGAGCACTAGGCTAGATGCACCACTCCTCTGACCCAGTAGGGTATTCCTTATTAATTTATTTACCGCTGCTTTTTCCTTGCATAATTTGCATTTATCCAAATTGCTCGCATTTCAACCTAACCATGCCTTGCACTTTGCAGTGTCTCCTCTAGGCTTGGAGCAGAGTGCTCCTTTTGCATAAATTAAGCTGGCTGAAGTATTCTCCTGCGAGTACTCGTCGGAATCAGCTGAAGTATTAAGCTGAATGAAGCCCTGTCCTACTTGTGTCACATTCTCTCTGCTCAGCCTTTGAAAGATTTGGGGCCACAACTGCAATAACATAGTGAAATTCTTATTGATACTCCTTGCAAATCCCTGACATGGCAAAACAATAGCTAGAAGGAAGAAGTTCGTTTCAGCCTCCCAGACTCTTAGTCTGCAGCCATGCCGCATGTTGTGTGTTATTTTTTAAATAGCTGCTCAGCTACAATAATCATTGTAATAAAGGTGTGTCCCTTTGTGGTTTTGTTTTTGGTTTTTACGTTTAAAAAGCAAATTTTGACAGGGGTAGCAGATCAACCGTGCTTTCTGACAGCTTCTACAGAAGCTGGATGAGCGCACATCTGTAAGGGAAATATCTGGAAATTTCTAATTAGTTAGGTCTGAGCTTACAGTCTTTTGGAAATGGGAAAAGAAGGATTTTTTTTTTTCCCCTGAGTATGTCGAAATAGTATGAGAGTTCAACTATAAGGAAAAACTGAAATATATGGAGTTTCTAAATTCTTTCCTGCTGCAAGACTTAAGTCACTCAGTGTGTATTTGAAGCAGAAAGGCAAATCTTAGTTTAAAAAAAAAAAAAGCACCAGAGAATACCGAAAATGATATATAGATCAGTGTTATGTCTTAAGGGAGAGAATACTGCAAAATTGGACGCCTCATCACAAGGCGTATTGTAAAGCTGAGAAATTAGATAAAAGCATTGAGAATGTTTAGAGGGCCTGGAAGAATAGGCAGTTTACCTTGATGGTAAATGAGACCCTCCTGAAGTGCGTGTTTTATAAGGCTTACAATCAAAGGAGTATTCTGGGGCATTGAAAGGTCTCAGAATTGAAGCTAAAGAACAGGAAACATGTATATTATGTGTCAGTGAGCCCCATAAATCGGAGAAGAATTGGTGTGTGGATAAGCAATGATAGCGGTACTTGGTTGCCTCTATCTGTCAGCATTGAATTTAATGTTCGGATATTGCACCATCAGTTGCTGGTGTTTAAAACGTGATTTTGAAGCAAAACAGTCTGTCCTTTTTGGTTTGGTCTTTTTGAATTTCTTCCATATGCCTCTGAAGCATCTAATGTTGGCCTTGCTTGGAAGTCGAAGTGTTTTTATAAACCTCCGAGGGACTGCCGTTCCCTGTTTCAGAAACCTGGTGTGAGTGTTTCTCAGAACAGCAGAGGCCGTGCAAGCCTTCTGTTCCACCTCTAGAGCTACTCAGTGTGCTGGATTAGGGGTCTCATCTGTTTCACTCCCAGGCCCGCCAGCAGCTCCCAGTGTGGAAAAGAGGGTAAAGCTTCTTCGTTTGGCTTTGCCACCAAAATAAATGATCTGAATTAAAGTACATGCCCAGGTTGCATTTCCAGTGATGCAGACAATGCTAACACCACTGGGGAAGGCTGGGAGTAGAGTCCTCCATCCACACTTGTGCAACTCACCTGACATCAGCTTGAGTACTTACAGGACCATGCATGAGCCGGTGCAACTTGTTAACCTGGAAGAGATTTAACTTAGGAAAAAAAACCCACCAAACCCCACAACCTTCATCATTTTTTACTTGGTTATCTAGCCAAGTCTCTGCAGAAAGGTATCGCCACTGGCACTGAGGTGATGGTGGTACCACAGGAAAGAGAGGAAGGGGACGGGGGCTTCTTGTGGCAGGAAGCTGTTGCATTAACTTGGCTTCCGATGAAACTGTACCCAAGAGTGTCCTGGTCAGTGTTTCATTGGAGAATGTTGGATATTGAGTTAATTTTTCTTGTGTTTGCTGCAGCCAGGGCTCCAGTGCTTCTTCAGTCTGCAAAACCTGCGGTCTGAAATACTGGGGAAAGTTCTTGAATAATTTAACATTATTGAAAATATAAAAGTTCTTTTTGTATTATGGTCTTGTGTGAAAATGAATGTTTTGACTTTTTACCAAGGCCTCTACTGACCATACAAGGGCAAGAGTTTTCAACTGAAAGACAGTACATTTAGATTGGATATAAGGAACAAATTTTTTATGATGAGGGTGTTGAGGCACTGGAACAGGTTACCCAGAGAAGTTGTGGATGCCCCATCATTGGAAGTGTGGAAAGTCAGGTTGGACGGTGCTTTGAGCAACCCAGTCTCACGAAAGATGAACCTGCCCGTGGCAGGGGGATTGGAACTTGATGATTTTTAAAGGTCCCTTCCAGCCCAAACCATTCTGTGATTCTCTGGTTTAGGATAGATGATTTTCAATCACTTGCATAGAGTTATGAGTGTTAATCTTGATTCCCTGATAATTGGAACCTCTTCTTGACCCCAGAAAACAACGGTTCTTGCTTCAGTCATATTTTTAGGCACTGTCAGAAGCTGGTTTGTGGAGGTATGATTTAGTTGAAACTTGAATGTCATTCCTGTTGAATGTTTATTCTGTGGACATTGAAAAGTTATGATTTAAAGTTACTTGTAGAATATAATTTAGTGTTTGTTGACATGTTGGTCCTCACTGAAACTCAAACAATACAAGGCATTGATTAGCTGTGAATACTGTAGCCTGAACTATCCCAAAACGACCACATTGCTGTTTTGCAGATGGGAAATTTCAATAAGATGAAGTCGGTCTATTTTGGATAGAAGTGAGGAGTGTGCCTGTACAGGATGGACAGGCATGGAAGCTGCCTTGAAAGCTCAAATCAAGTAGCCTGAAGGTAGTCTTAGCTCTTAGCTAAAACAAGGTATTTTCAGCTCACTGAACTAATTTATACAGATTGGAAATAAGGTAGTTCTGGAGTTCAAATACCCATTTGCAGCCTGGAAATAAGGTTGGTTTTGACTTCAATGCCATACTTCTGTCCATAGGACCATTATGTCCTCAAGCAATTTCTAACAGCTGCTCCCTGAAATAATATGGTTGATTTGGGGCTTATGTTTTAATACCTAAGACTAGCCTAATCGAAGCTGTGGAAACAAGATGTTTTCTTCTAAATGGCTATCATTTCTCTTTTAAATGATTTGAAGTCTAAATTGCTGTGAATGCTAAACGTAGCCCGAGTTTCAGCGTCCCTTCTAGTCTTTCATTTTATATAAACATTCTGATCAGGTAGTTGATACTGAAGGAAAGGCTATCATAATTGAAAACGGACAGTTTTACTACTCAGGTGCCTGCAAACTAAGGTTTTAAGTATCGGTTAATGAATTTTGAAAGACTTGATGATTTTAAGTACTGCCAGTTGAGAAGTCTCATTATCTGTAGGCCATTGAACTCTAGATTGAAAGATGGGAATAAACCTACTACCAAAATTCTCCATGAATTTCAAACTGGTGTCCCCAGCGGAACAAAAATTGGTAGTTACCTAAAACATGACAAACAAAATGAGAAAAGGCTTGTGAAATGGCTGGCTGTTGGAAGACTTCTGTTGAGCCGTAATGACTAAATGACCTTGCAAACACAATTTTGCTTGCTAAATTAATTTGGAGACAGGCAGGACATGCATATATGTGTATGCAATTTGTCAGTCACTTGTGGGAAATTTTAATAAATGGCTAAAATCAGCCAGCCTAGGTGCAAAGCTAGACTCAAGTTACCTTCAGTGTTTTCTGGAGTTGGCTTTAGCCAGGAAAGACTTCAGGAAAAATTAAATGTCCAGCCTAACAGTAGCATTAGTCTGCACTAACTGTTGGAGAGTCTGCAGCAAACTTGCTTTTTAGCTTTATTGGTGAAGTACCTAACCATGATGCAGACTACTTCTGAACTGTTACCTGACTTGTTTTGGGGTGCAATGTCCGATGGCGTTTGGTAATGAAAGGTCCTAAGCAAGGTGTTTGTTTCATGTGAAACCTCAGTGCTAATGTGTCTGTTTTGGTTTGTGTTTTTAGGGATCAGACGGGAATCTCTAATTTATCGCTGAGTGTTCTGTCTGGTGAAAGTCATGTCATCCATATTGCCATTCACTCCACCAGTTGTGAAGAGACTTCTAGGGTGGAAAAAATCTGCTAGTGGCTCTGTCGGGGCTGGTGGTGGCGAGCAGAATGGTCAGGAGGAAAAGTGGTGTGAAAAAGCAGTGAAAAGCTTGGTCAAGAAGCTAAAGAAAACGGGACAGCTGGATGAGCTTGAGAAGGCCATTACCACTCAGAACTGCAATACAAAATGTGTGACGATACCAAGGTAAGTGCTGTTGTGTTTGAAATGGTTACAACCACTTAAAAGTGACTAAATGGATGTTTAGGCTGTCCTGTGAACAAATGACTAAAAAAATCAGTTGCATGCTATTCATTCTTTAAAAATTCTTTAAAACCTATTTCGGTTTTATATAGTGCTTGCTTACAACTGAATCACATGCTTTGTAAAGTCACAATTTCTAATAATATGTTTACATTTTAATTTTCATTACTACGTAGATTCTAATTTGTGTGTATTTTGGTGGTGCCTAGCGCAGCTTTTAGTTTGTAGCACTGCCTTATGCTTTTATTTAATAACCCTGTCTATAATTGGAGAGGCGTACTTGAACCTACACTTCCACTTTAAAAAAAAAAAAAACCAGACTAGTTTTTCCTTGGTCAACACTTCAGTCAACTAATTATTTTCAGTTGTATCTGGTAGTTTCATTTAAATTATATAAGCTGCATCCATTTCCCCTTTGAAGGGAAGTTTTATCTTTGGAGGCAGGTTATCTGAAGGCTAGTTTATTTACTGTAATTATTATTTTTTCATTGTTTAATGAAAGTGCTTTTTATTTAATAATTCGGAGTATTTCTAGAACTGTTCTTCTGCTCCTGATGTGTATGTACATTTAGGTAAAAGACTTGCGTTCTGCCCTTTGGCTTTCTCAACTTAATTCATAGCAACTGCTGTGCGAGAGGCATGGGTTATGTTTGTAAGTATAATGCAGTCTGCTCTCGATCGATGTTATATAGAAGTCCCATTAAGATGCCTGAGTAACCTCATTATGTGCGACATAAGTATCAAATCACTTCACAGGTGTGTTTTTCTAGGAAAAAGTTAGAGGATCTGGTGGCCCAGGAATATTCTGGGCACTTAGCCCCTCAACACTCTAGGGAAGAGAAACTGCGTCTGGTTTATGACCTTAATTTCTGTATTAGCACATTCATCCCAGCTACTTTTAAACTTTGATTTAATCATAGCACAAACTAGGTTTGTGTTAGTAATGATTCCATATATCAAACGTGTTACAGCTGTTAGCTGATAATGGTTTTAGCATTCTCTTTTAGACTTGACACAGCGTTCTGGGAAAATCATGAGTATGCTCTGAATGAATGACCACTTTAATTCTGTTCTTTCACTTTTCTGTTCACCTTTTGTTTCTAATGCTGGCCTCTGCTTGTATTTTCTTCCCTAGAGCAGTCCCAAAATTCACTGGGTTTCCCTTCTGCTTTCTTCCTCTTGCCAGCTGGAAAACAACCAGAAATAGACCCTCTCTTGTCTTTGTGTGTATCAGTAGACTAAGATTGGAATCTGTAGGGATATATGCTTCTTGACTTGAGTTGACTCTATGTATTTAGCAGGTCTTTACCATAACAAGACCAAATGCTTAATTGGAAAGCATTTCATGTGTCAGAAGCTGAATATGCCATACAGAGATTCACTTGATATTGAATGTGTATCTTAACTTTTAAAGCTCTTTTAGAGCTGTTAGAGACACTTATAGAGCTCTCCTGCAGGGGTACTGGGGCAGTAAATATTGCTACTTCAAAGAGTGATTGTCTAAATATAATTTTTAAGGTGATGTTAGAAGATACAAACAGTACGCTGATACGTCATTGTCTTCGTAGTCTGCTCGGAGTATGTTGTCCTGCTTGCCTGACCTTTTGTGTAGACATAGTAAATAATTATTTGAAACAGAATATGAAGCTCTATTATACTCTGTATAGCCTCCACGTTGTGACCAGCAGTTCTTGCTGGGCTGTGATGTACTGTTCTCATTTATCCTCCAGTCAGCTGTAGAGAGGAGTGGACCTGGGTTTTACTTTACTTGACTATCTTAGGAGTATGCTGGTACCTATACAGCTCTTCAGGTGATGGCTATTATACAAGGTTTAATTTCAAACTAAGAAATGGCTTTGGTATTAAGAGGCAAGATGATATCAGGGCTGCCAGCGGCACTATACGGAATTCTTGAGTTTCGTAGTTGGCTTTTGGACTGTTGATACTATTTCACTTTGACAGCAGTAGTCTGGGTTCCCAAGAAAGAACAAATGTCAACTCAGTACTGTAATGACTTCTGGCAATTCTTGTTCTTGGATTTAGTAAGTTAATGAAACTGCTGCTTGGGACCCGCTTTAATGAATGTCTTAAAGATCTGCAGATCAGCAGGGATAGATAATTAAATGCTGAATTTGAAACTTTATTTTCTTCTTAGT